CACTTCTCTAGAGATGGAGCCCTATGTTACATTAAATGTATTGTACGTCACTTCTCTAGAGATGGAGCCCTATGTTACATTAAATGTAACGTAGGTGGCTTTTCTAGATGTGGAGTTCTGTATTAGATTAAATGTGTTATAGGTCGCTTGTATCTATATATATAATCCTATGTTACATTAAATGTAACGTAGGTGGCTTTTCTAGATGTGGAGTTCTGTATTAGATTAAATGTGTTATAGGTCGCTTGTATCTATATATATATAAGATCCTATGTTACATTAAATGTAACGTAGGTGGCTTTTCTAGATGTGGAGTTCTGTATTAGATTAAATGTGTTATAGGTTGCTTGAATCTATATATAGAATCCTATGTTATATTAAATGTTTTGCAGGTCGCTTTTCTAGATGTGGAGTCTTGTATTAGATTAAATGTGTTGTTCACTGCTTCTTTAGATGTGAAGTCCTGTATTAAAAAATATTTTGTAGGTCGTTCTCTAGATGTGGAGTCCTATGTTAGATTAAACGTATTCTAGGTCGCTTATCTAGATAAGGAGTCTCATGTTATATGAATTGTATTCTAGATTACGTTTCTACATGTGGAGTCTTAGGTTAAATTACATGTACTGTAGGTCGCTTTTATTGATGTGGAATCCTCTGTTAGATTAAATGCATTATAGGTTGCTTCTCTAGATGTGGAGTCCTGTGTTAAACTAAATGTATTGTACGTCGCTTCTCTAGACTGGAAGCCCGGTATTAGATTAAATGCATTATAGGTCGCATCTCTATATGTGTAGTCCCATCTTACACTAAAAGTACTGTAGGTCGCTTTTATAGATGTGGACTCTTTTACTAGATTAAATGTATTCTACGTCGCCTCTCTAGATGTGGAGTCTCATATTATGTTAAATGTGTTGCATTGTAGGTCACTTCTCTAGATGTGGAGTCCTATGCTAGATTAGATGTATTGTTGCATCTCTAGACGGGGATTTTTATGTTAATTTGAATGTGTTGTAGTTCCCTTCTTTATATGTGGAACACCATATTAGATTAAGAGTATAGTATGTCGCTTTCCTAGATATGTAGCCTCAAGCTAGAATAAATGTATTGTAGGTTGCTTCTCTAGATGTGGAGCTCCATGTTACATTAAAGGTATTGTAGGTCACTCTTATAGATGTGGATCCCTATGTTAGATTAAATGTATTCTACGTCGATTCTCTAGATGGGGAGCCCCATGTTACATTAAAGGTATTGTAGGTCACTCTTATAGATGTGGATCCCTATGTTAGATTAAATGTATTCTACGTCGATTCTCTAGATGGGGAGCTCCATGTTAGATTAAAAAGATGTACTGTAGGTCACTTCTCTAAATGAGAAGTCATGTGTTAAATTGTAGGACTTTTGAATAGCTAGATTTGTAGTCCCAGATTACATTAAGAGTATATTCTAGGTTGCTTATCTAGATAAGGAGTCCAATGTTTACTTTTCTACATATGGATTCTTGTTTGTTTGTAATTAAGCACAAAGCTACAAAATGGGCTATCTGTGCTCTGCCCACCACGAGTATCGAAACCCGGATTCTAGCGTTTTAAGTCTGCAGACATACCGCTGTGCCACTGGGAGGCATATGGATTCTTATGTTAAATTAAATGTATTGTAAGTCGCTCCTCCATATGTGGAGTCCTAGGTTAGATTACGTGT